CACAAGATGGCGGTGGGGCGGCGGGAGAGCGCGCTCCCCTCGTAGATGTGGCCGCGGCGGCCCCTGCTCCCGGCGCCCGGCGGGGCTTACATGGCGCTGGAGGACCTGCTGCTTTGTCTCTGCTTCTCCGCCCTCGCTGTCCTGACCGTGCAAGGTGGGTGAGGAGGGAGAGGAGGGCGGGAAGGGGTCGGTGCTCCCCAGCCCGCGGGCGGTCGGGGTGCCACCTGCCCTCACATGGGCTGTGGGCGGCTCCGCGGGGATGCGCTCCCTGGCCGGTCACCCGCTGTACCAGTCCTCCTTCTCCTTTAGTGGCCATTTACCCCAGTTGTCCTTTCTTCCCTTAGTGGCCGTCCCGTCCCTCCGTGGCCATTCCCCCCTCTCCTCATCCCCTTCTTTCCTCCAGGTCGGACGATAGCTGTGCTCATGACCCATGGCTAGATGGTGCTTCCTTTCGGGTCATCATTTAGGGGGTGATATTGGGGTGACACTTGCCACAGGAACTCCCGTCAGTGTATGGGCTGGGGGGGACAGCAGACCAGCAGCAGCAGCAGCATTCCACGGCCTCTGCCTGGACAGTGGCAAGTTTCCGCCAGAGGGCCGGTGCCTGTGCCAGGGTGGTGGGGAGTGAAGCGCTTGTCCAGCACAGGGTGGCTGAGAGCAGACCCAGGTGTCCAGCAATGCTGTGAAAGGATTCTCGCTTCCTTTGCCCTGCTCGTGCTGGCATGGGACACACGGGTAGGCAGATGTCCCGTTGGTCAAGGAAGTGACCCAGGAGTAGCCATGCTCCTCGCGCTCGTGTTTTGCAATGGTTACGCAAACGGCGCCGTGCGAGGGCACACGTACACGGCCGTCGGGCTTCTTGGTGCCTTTCTGTGCTTGCCATCGAAGTTTGCATTGAGGGTCGGCTGAACTGTTGGACCTTGGGGTGTGGGGTTCCTTCTCTGTGTGTGCACACAGCCTGAAAAAGGTTTTGTTCTCATCCCTGAGAAGGGTTTGGAAAGGTACAGGCTGGCAGATCCGCACCAAAAAATGTGTGTGCCAGGGACTTGCTCTTGTTTAAAATCCCCCTAAAGAGGGTATTGTGGTGCAGGAGCCATCCTTATGTCATTATACATTTTTATTCCTTTTATGATGCATTCAGGTTCAGCAGAGCATAATAACAGCACGTGGACGGCTGCAGGGTTGTTTCTATTTTCTTTCTTTTTTCTCAGAACCTTGTGAGCTTCTGTTAAGGGTAGGTTATGATTCAACATAGGTGCAGCTTTATGGTGGCTGTTGTGGAAGTGAATAACAATCCATGTAAATGGCCTGTTGTCACCAGTGAGTATGGGTTTTCCTGGATGGATGGCAGGCTGTGACCCCACCAGCAGCCGTGTGAGTAGCTGGACTGAGTGGGAGCTGGGTATCCTGTGTGTTTGAGCAAACAGCCAAGTGGATCCCAAGGCTTAAAAAAAAAAAAAAAAAAAAAAAAAAAAAAAAAACCAACAGAAAAAATGGGGGTGGTGGAGTGGATGTTACTTTTTCCAAAACCACTTTAACAAGAAAACTTTAGATGGTTTGCGAGAATTTGCAGTTGTGGGTTCTTGGTGTTTCTTGCAAGCAATTAGACAACTAGTGAAAATTGTTGCTGTTTGTTTTCTAACAACGGGCCACATCTTGTATAGGGAGGCAGTGAGTGTGTCTGCACAGTCCTTGGATTTGCTGCTGGGTACGTGTGGATGTGCTTTCCAACAGGTGGGTTTGATTCCGAAAAGAAAAACACGGACTTGTTTCAATCTGAAATTAATTTGGCAGAGGATTGAAACGGTTTTGGGAAAGTCTGTGTTTGATCCCAAAGCCTCATGTGTTTTGATCCAAAGTTCAAGCCTCGCCGGGTATGAAGTACCTAGGAGAGAAGTAGAGTGTAAAACCTTCCCCCCTCCGGAGTTGATGGAAGCAGTGCCAGTGTGTGCACTTGCTGGGGATGGGATCCAGTGTTTTCTGCTGTCTGACTTGGAGCCTGTTTTCACTGCAGTGACAGGAAAGGGGTTTAAGGGAAAAAAACCCCAAGCATGAAACAACCCCTTTTCAGTTGACTTCAACAAGGGGGCTGTGCTGGTTCCTTTCCTTGGGACTCTCTACAGGGGATGTGTTGGTGGGAAGCGCACTGAGCTTTCCATCCGAGGGATCAGCTGAAATCCATCTGGGTTTGTATAGTTTGGTTTTGTGGTTGAGTTCTCCTGCTACAGAACAGATTTCCTTTTTCGACATCACCTCACTTGAGTTGTGATTTGTTTTATCCTTCCTGTCGCGTTCGCCTTGGCGGCGTGACCCCGCAGCCGCTGCCTGCCGTGCGAGCCCGTGCCGGGGAGGGAGGCGTTGCCATTGTTCGTGTCCCTGCGGCTGCGGCCGCCTGCGCTTCGCGGGATGTCACCGGCCCTGTGACCGCGGGACTGCGGTGTCACCGGGATGGGCGCTGCAGGGAAGGGCTGTTTCCTCCAGGCCCCGAGAAACGGGGGGCACTGACACTGCAAAACATCGTGCACACAGCGCTGGCGAGGCTTCACCTGTATCCCGTTTCCAGGGGCAGCGTTCTCGCTGCGGTTGTGCCGTGGCTGTTGTGACAGTGGCAGTCTCCAAGCCAGGCACGGGACTTCTTTTGCTGGCATTTCTGTTTCTCTTCTAGTGCGTGAAGCTGAAGGAGAAACTGTTCAGACTTGGTTCTGGTTTTGTCTCTCCTGTTTTCCCGAGCTTTTTCCTTTTTTAATGTTTAGGTTTTTGGGTTTTTTTGTGCCTTCAAGTCCAAAGTGAAGTAGAATGGGCTCATTTTCGGGCATATCCCCCTCTTTTGCAGCAGACTTTCTCCTGGCAGCTGTAGCAGGTTTGATCTGCTGTGGGGGCCTCATGGGGATGGGTGACTGCTGGTGGTACATGAGACACTTCAGAATGGTGCAAGTAAGAATTAGAAAATATTTGGCAGTCTGCCTTTCCCTGGGGATGAAGGGTGATGATTTTCCCTGCATGCAGCCTGGTTTGGAGATGGAGACAGCTTCTGTGGGACAACACAGGTGTCTCTGCACTGGGGGCACTCAGTTTGTGAAGTGTTGGGGTGGGCTGTGGCATACAGGGCATCTCTCCTGTGTGCCCACTGTGGTCCTGGGCCAGTTACTTCATCTGTTCTGGCATCCTCATGGCCCATCTTTAGCCAAACTTGGAGATGCTCCTCTCTTTCAAAGGTGAGGATGAAATCCATAAATAAGTATTCAGCACATACATGATCTTTCTCACTCTAGTGCACAGCTATCCTGAGGGCAGAGTGCTGTGTTGTCCCATGGGTTTGTGACTCCCGATACCATATTGCTTGCCAGATGATTTGAATTCTTACCTCCCTTGGAGCTGCTTTTCCAAAGGCTGGCTGTTCTCCCAGGGGAAAAAATCTAGGTGCTTGTGGACCAGTCTGGGCATTTGCAGCATAAGAGATGCTGCTTGCGCAATTTACACGCTCCTCTCCTGGTTAAATGGCTTCAAGGCCATTAAGCCTAGTCATGGTTATATAATTAAGTTGGGAATTAATATTTAATCTGATTGTAATTTGTTGCTGGAATCCATCCCAAATTTTATCTCTGCGTGAGGTGAGTGGGTACCTGAGGGAAAACTGAGGCCAGTGTTATATGCAGGGTATTTTTTGCGTGAACACTAGGAATTACAAGTCTGCCTTGGGTGACAGGAACCCTAACCTTTACAAACCCTGAGTGATCATAGTCATTTTGTTATCAGTAGGAAGCAAATGTTTGTTTTATAGTCAGCTGTAATACTAGAGGGGATATGGTAAATCCTTGTTATCAGTATTTGCCAAGTGTACTTTGGGCCAAAATCAACTCTGGTGCAATTTTGTTACTTTCTGGAGAAGAACTGGATCCATTTGCATACAGTATTTTTAGCTGGTTTTTGAAGTTGAAGAGGTGTAATTATCCCATCCAGTTGTCTGTTCCTCTCCCTTTTCTTTTTCTCAACAATTCCTGGACCTGCTGATAGTCATAATGAGTTTGGACATGGAGAATGCGGAGTTTTTGAAAATAAGTGACCAAGTAGAGGAGTTAGATGCAGTTTCTGCATGGACTGAAGGAGAGGCACTGGAAAACCCACCTGTGGAAGAACCTGAAGTGCCTCAATGGCAGGAATAGCTTTGAGCAGATCATGAACCTTGTTTAGGTGGGACTAGGGAATCCACTTACAAGGCATAAAACTGCAGGAAATCATGATCTCAAGTCTTTGTATCCACTTGATTATTTTTGAGGTCTTTTCTTCTGTAAAACATGACTTATTATTACATCAGCATTTGTGTTATGGGACTCGGTGTCTGTTTTGCTTTCCTCTCTTTTTGGGAAAGCACTTCCAAACACAGCATTTGGAGCTGCTGTGACTTTGGTCCTTTTCATTGTCTTTGTGTTGGTCACTTGCTGTCTCTGCCTCAGTTTCCCCAGTTGTTCCCAATGGGCAGAGGATGCTGTTACACACTGTAGACATGAAGAACACCACTCTAAGTACCATTATTGCATTTATTAAATCCCTTGAGTAAGACCTCCAAATACTACTTGTGCTTTTCTGACTTAACAGCTTGTTGGTGAGAGGATCCACAGTTGCTAACACTGAATCTGCCACCTTCACAGAAAGCAGCATTGAGCTATGTTTTCACAAGCCCTCCTAGAGCTGCCAAACCCTCCACCAGACATGGGGGGAAGTCTGAAGAGCTTCTAATTTGTTTGACTATTACTAGTATAGTATGCTGAAATCATCTTTGAAACACTGTTAAATGTCCTAATTCTGAAGAGTAATGGAGGCTTCAAGGGAGAGGAAGAGCTGGTCAGTGTTTCCTTGTAGGAAGGTAAAAATCTGCTGGAGTTGGAGCTGCTGAGAGGGAAATTCCATGGGAGAGCCAAAACAAGTGTCTGAGTCTATGTAACACTGTCCTGTTTTCAGGTGTCAGGACACTTTGTGAGTGTGTAGGTCATGGAGCTTCTCCCTTGGACGTGGTTTTGCTCATGTCACTGATGCCCTTTGGTGTCTCTGAGTCAGATCCTCTCCTGCTCCTAATCCATGTGATCCTGCTGTTGTGATATGGGCTTGTTTTATCTGAGAAGTCCAGCAGCTGCTGTGTCTTATCTCCGTGGGTAATAAACATGCTTTGTGGTGGTTATGATAAGCAATTACTGTGTTCCAGGGAAACTTTCGTATCAGATGTTCTCAAATTATTTAAAAATCTTTATCAGCATTTTAAACACAATTGCCTTTTATTGCTGTGTGAAATTCAGCTGAGCTATGGAATAACCTGGTTTATTCTACCTTGGTTTTTTATGTTTTAATTTTTTTTACAGATCTTTCATGGAGTTCTTGAGGACAGGTCGTTAATATTAAAGGTGTGTTAATGAAATGTGAGCATCCCCAAGGTTTGTTCTCAGCCCAAATAGGTGGGAGAATTAAAATCTAGCATGTGAAATATTGCATTTGTGCTCAATCTGCTGTGGCTTTTTTCCTTGTTCTGACAGACATCCCCGGTCTCATTTCCTGCTCGGGTGTTTGAACCATGTTCCTGTTGGAGTTGGGATGGCTTAGCGCCTTGTTAAATGTAAGACTTCGGGAAATTAAACAGTTAAAATGGTGCTGGGATGGCAGAACTTGGTGGAGCAAGCCTTGGATTCAGAAGCAATGCTAGGCTGGCAGCAGAGATGTGATAAAGTACTTCGTCTGTTTTACTGTGTGCTGGGAAATGTGCATCCTTGATTGTTTCTAAATTGACTGTCAATAGATGATAAAGTTAATTGGTGTGACCAAAAGGTCATTACTTAATGAAATGGGTTTCCCATGCCCTGTCAATACACTGGAAGTTTTGGCAAAATCTGACTGTTCATGTACTCAGGGCTTTGATAAATCTTTTCAGAAGCATTATCGGTGGTTGCAGGTTCCAGACTTACCTCAGGTTTTGCACTTAAGGCAGGACTGTCCTCTCTGTGGCTCTTGGCTGGCTGTTGGATACAGCTGCAGAATGGGTGCATGTATTTTCCAGACAAAAGTGGAATTTTCCCTGATACTAACACTAGTCAAGGGTTGACTGATGATTTTTTTCTGTGCATGTGAGGAGGCTTTTATGTTCTCTTGGAAATCTTTGTCTCTTTTTTGCTGGTGATCTAGTGAAAATGTGCCCTTACCTTTCTGGGGTTATCTGTGCTGCTTTAAAGGAATGATGGTCCTCCTAATTACACAGACCCAGAGAGATTGAGCCAGTTTGAGCCCATTTCTGTGCCCTGGCAGTCCCACCCACCTACCTGTCTGTCTGTGGCAAAGCTTTGAAAAAGCTCATAACGAAAGGACAGGGAGCTTTTCATGGAAAGAAAAACCAAACCAAGGACTGGGGAGGGCAGAGTATTAGCAGGTGTTCAGGCTGATGTTGGGAGGTCAGTTTGTGGTTTGGGGATGGGACCTGCTCCTGGGTGGGAGATAAGGGCCTCATTGGAGGTTATCTTCAGCAGAGGGGTACAGAGTGTGGTGTGGAGTGGAGGAGCTGGGTCTGCTGGCTTGGCTCCATTGTTCTTCTGCTTGATAGGTATTTCCCCTTGTCAGAGAGGCTAGGACAGCCCTGCTGTTGGAGAATTCAGGCTGTGACAGGAGGGTGAGCATATTCTCCACAGGTCTGTGTGGCTCCTGAAGGCGCTTCTGAAGGCACTTGGTGTTTCTCCATAGCAAGGCGTCTTGGCAGAATACTCTCAGATAAGATAAAAAGGGAAAAACAATCCCAGGATCTGATCCAACACCAGCTCCTTTGCTGGGTTGGCAAAAATTGTTTAGATTTTCCCTCCCAAGAATGGTTTTGTAAACATAATACTGCCTATTAGCCATGCAAATTACTGTCATTGGTGGCAGTTGTTGTGATGGAAAGATAAGTATCTTGAAACTCTGGTTTGATTCACCCCTCCTGCCCCCCCAGCTTGCTAACCAGTTGTTTGTGTCAGTACTGATTGCAGCTTTTGTCAGAGAAATCAAAATATTGATCAAATTTATTTAGCTCTATGTTCCCTAGGTCACAGTAAATGGAAGTTTTCTTTCTTTTCCTTTGTACTCTGTTTCTCTGTACTGAAAACAAAAGGAACTGTTCCTCAAGAAGATGAACCATACGTTCCCGAAGTCAAAAGTCATCCACTTGGAGAGGGTCCTTAGGAGCAGACTTCCTATATGGAGGCTTTCCTCAAGAGTCTGTCAGTGGAAAATCTGGCGAGCAGCATTACCACAAGTACTATTGTAGAGTTTTCTTTACATGCAAAGTGGGGAGAGATGGAAGTTTCTCCCAGCTGCTGGCAGAGAAGAGCTTCCCATTTATTTCGTGCTTGTGGCTGCTGCCAGGATTTGCTGTTTAGCAGCAGAGGAGTTAAGTGAGGGGTGAAAGGCTTCAGCAGCACTTCAGCATCTGGGCATGAGGCTGAGCTGTCAGATCATTCTTTGTTTTTTACACCAGTGAAGGCACTTGGGATAGTTCAATATGTTTAAGGCAAGCAGTATATTGTGCTGCCTTTTTGTGTACTGTGGGAAGCTGAGATGTTTCTTGTTCCAGGTTGAATGGTTGTGCTTGAAAAAGAACATCTCTTAAAAAGCAACACCCACTTCTAACTTAAACATTTGCTGTGGGTGCTTGTCCATCACAGCTCGTCGGGAGGCTGGTTTGATGTCCTCGCTCAGTGATGTGCACCTTCAGTTTGAGTTCACCCAGCTGGGGTTTGTAGGGGTGTGTGAAGACAGGTACTGGTGTGAAGAGCCTCCCTGTGAGGATGTGTACCCTCACCGAATTTCCTGATAGCCTGCTCTTTACTGAGCCGGGTACATTCAGGTCCTTAAGTCTTTCACCTGTTTTCCATCCATAATCTCAGCCTTCTACAGTAACAGTAGTAAGTAAGCCCTGCTTTTCTCAGCAGTCAGGTGTTTGCTCAGCTGGGGAAATCTTTTACTGCTTCAGTTCAAAGCCTGACTTCTTGGATCTGGGCTGTGCAGATCCCCAGGGCACCAGTTCCTCCCAGCTCAGTGCAGAGCTGCCATTCAGCTCAGACAACCAGTCTGAAAGCTGGATGTGGCTTTCCAGATGTGATGGGATCAGAGCCAGCCAAGGGAAAAGTAAAGAAACTTTCAGCTCCAAAAGTGTCTCTTTGCAGAGCAGCCAAGCTGCTGCTGAGGCAGATTTGGGGGGGTTGCAGCAGGATGCTCACATGCAGGAAACCAGAGGAAGCATCAGGATGTGGCACATCTGTGTAACTTCCATTTAGACTTTAAACAGAAAGGTTAAGTTGGTATTTGGCATGTGGTATGTGCAGGCCTGTAAATGAAAATTCCTGAATACTTTTTTTGTGTATTTGAAAGTTTGTGAGGTTTAAAAAAATGCTGCTCTCATAGGGAGTGTTTTCTTCTCGCCAGAAGAAAATTTGTTGGACTGCAAATTTGACAGAACTGATTTTTATAGCATTTTCTAAGCTGAACTAATTGTGTGTTTTGGAAGGGGGGAAAACAACAATGTGGATGTGTGTTTTTATATAGATTTCATTAAAAAAGTGACTTGGTTTATTCTGCAAGTTTTCTGAGAAATGTAAATGTTTCTGCTGGAAAATGCAAGTGATTATACACTGGTGACTAACGAATAATCCTTGGCTAATATGGGTTGGACTCAATTAAGTTAATCTCTGCTCAACAGTAGTAAAAGTTGATAAAGGAGATTTTGCGAGGCTGTTGTTGACCTGAACATGAGAATGATCACACAGCATTCCCTGAAATAAAACTGGCTCTCTAAAAGAAACATCATTCTCACAATTTGTTCCTAACAGTAGAGAAGGAGCTGTTCAAAGTGGCCCAAAATGGCTTGGTTATGAAGATGAGGGTTTCTCATGTGCTGGTGTTATGAGCTGAGGCACAACAGACCTCAATAAAGGAGGAGCAGCAATAATTAGTCTAGATTAATGGAAATAAGTCTGGTTTTAGTAATAAATGAAGTTGGATTCCTTGGTCCAGAGCAGCCACCATCTATAGTGCTCATCTAGCAGTTGAATGCACAGAGGCAAAACTTTCCTCACTGTTGAGAAAAGAGGGTGATCTGGAGTGTTTTTGTTGAAATCTCAATGTAAATCCAGGTGTTGTTTTCAGATGTGTTTTGGTGAGATAAGCAGAAGCCCAGAGACAGCCAGGGAGAAGCATCACATCCGAGCCTGGATCCCCATTGATCCAGGAGGGCCCCAAAGTGGTGTGACAGTCCTCAAAAGGATTCTGCTGCTCAGATACTGTGTGTCGAAAGCGTGTCCTTCACCATTTGGAAGCACACCCGGGCCTTTTAGTGCTTTGTCCTCAAACTGTCAGGTTTCAGCTGGCTGCAGCTTTGGAAAACGGAAAGATTTATGTGCTCTGAAGAGAAACTTGCGCTGACAGTGGGTAAATGCACTGTAGATGCTGGAAAGTTAAACAGCCTAGTATGTGTGAGGCATTTTTTAAATAGGTTGTAAAATATATTTTTCTCCTGTTGTTACGATAGATGTAAGTTTAAGTTTGGAAATGGGAGGGCAGATTTCCACCCATTCTGACCTTCTGTTCTAGCCATGTTCAAAAGTTTGTACTGCTTCTTGTTTTCCTCCACCTTCATGTGCATTCCTGTAGCCACAGATTTGGCTGTTATATTGCCATTTTTCCTAACACAATCCCTGAGAGCTGTAAGAGAACACTTTGGTCTTTGGATGGTAACTGAGTTTCCAGATCACAACCAGATACTGTCTTTTCAAACAGGACTAGGTAAGAAATTAAACCAGGAGGATTAAAGTCCCAAGGTGGACACGTCCTTGGTAAGATCATGCATGTCTAGCTCTGAGCACCCCTTTGACTTAACAGTTTATCATACTCTGCAGCTGAAGCCAGGCAGTGAAGCCCAGATGGGTTTTGTGACTTCCCGAAGGACATGTGGTGGGTGCTGACAAGGCTGTCCCTGGACAGGCTGGTGCTTTGTCAAGACTGCCCACGGTGTCTGTTCTCTGCAAAATTAACTCCTGCCCCAAATCCCCCTTACCTTTGCCTTGTGTTCCTGCCCTGTGTGGGTGGCTTGTGTGTCCTTGTGTCCTCCCAGGGAAGTGGCGCCTCTCTTGGGGTGATGCGGGCTTGCAGTGACAGTCGTCTGCACTGAGCTATTAAAATGTACTTTTCCATTAGTTCTCTTTGTTGCTGTTCTGAATTGTCTTCTCTTCCCCTGTGTGCTGGCTCATTATTTCTTATTAATTCATGGTTTGTGCAATTACCTGGGAAATGCAGTAGAGTTGGCAGGAATTTGATGAGCCTGACTTCTCTTCTTGAGAGTAGACGACTTACTTTCGATGCTTGGGTTGGTTCTTGTCCTCTCTGAGTGACAAGTTGCACATCTAGGCCTTTCTGCAGGGACTCTGCAGGACAGGCTGGCTGTTTGGAGAGAGCTGGAAAACACTAGGAGCAGGAAGAGGGTCTGTATGTGTATTTCCTTGTGCTCCTGGTAGGATTGAAACCAGAGCTGTTCATTGACATTCTGTAGCTGCTCTGCATTATGGCTTTACACCCTGCCCTGAAGACACACTCCAGACTTGAACCTCAGCCTATCAAGAGCAAACAAGAGAGGCTCTTTGTTTAGCTTCAGCAGACAGAATTGTACAATAAATAGTTCTAAATA